GTGATATTTGGGTTCAATTATAGGAGCAGTTTGCTTCAATGGGCAGATGATTGGGAAACCCTTTAAACTACAGTTGTTTTGTAATCTTTTTGCCCATCGAAATGTTTGTTGATTATTGCAATATGATTTAATAAATCCATAATGTATAGCTGATCAGAATTTTAGCTGGACTGGGATTTTATTCTCCTAAATTCTGATGAAAACTGCTTCTCAGTCATACATTGGCTTTATTTTGGAGTTAATGGGGGCTATTTAAATTTTCTAAACTTTTAACATTGTAGAACCTGTCTAACCCAGCTAGTTTTTTGGCAGTTTGTAGGGCAAAATGATGTGACATCTGTGGGCAACTCTTATTATTCCACAGATAATTATTTAAATAGTCAGTTGTGAAGATGGGCTTCAAAGCTATAGTCAACATTGCAATACTGCCTTGTACTCGTAACAGTCGTGGATATGAAAGCAATATAGTACTTTCCATATTGATGCTTTAGCACTGAACTAGAAGCCTTGAGTAGTTTTTACCTTGGCAAATCCTACCCTTCAGGCTTGACATGCCTCACATTGTGCAAACAGTAACACATGAGTTTGCACAAAAGCCACAACTGCCTATTGAATGTCACTATGGTGTGTTTGCTCTGTACTTGTATCCTACTTCTGTAGTGGCTGTGCAGTTTACAGTGGTTAGGCCTGGTTTGCAGAATTTTTATTTAGAGATTGTTAACTTGTCTCAAACTTCAAAAACCTGTACAAACGCAAAAGTGTCCTTGAAAAAAGGGTTGGGCATATAATTTTTTAACACTAATCTGCTTTGTCCATATTTTATTTGATCACTCTTAATAACTTAAATAACTTATTACAGTATCAAATGTCAGCGGTGTGTATACAGAATATGTGATCAGTGCATTCCAATGACGGCTATAGAATTGATTTAGTAACCTGACCTTATATTTCAGGTGGGTAGCTGCATCAGCATGCGTAGGCTGCAAAGGAACAAGTAATAGGTTTATTCCATGCTGGAAAAAAAGGAGAAAAAAAAACACCCCAACTGATTCTTGAGTTTACAGATGTTGAAGCTTAGCACATTGAAGTCAATACCTGTATTCTTATAAAACAAAGTAACAAGTAGGTCATATTTCAGGTGTTTATCCAAAACCATTTAGGAACCTGAGAGCTTATTGGCAGTTGACTTTAGTAACATTAGATCATTTTACCTTTTCCCTTAAGCATCGTACAAAACATCTTAGCACACCTTGAGTTTTCAGTTTTTTTAAAAAATAATTAGTACACAACTCTGGGGTTCCTCTTTTATTTCTAACATTTAAAGAAATTGACTCGCTTTTTGTGACTATGACCCTCTTAATAAGTGAGCAGTTTATAATGGACAGACAGTAGTGGAATGGCAATGTGAGTGCTTTTCCTCCTGCTTACTGTAAGTCCACTTGGTCACATTTCATCTGACACCCCTGAATCAGGGCAGTTCTGAAACTAATTAGTGACCGCTTCATTAGTTAACAAATCCCACTTGCTTTCAGCTCTTAAAAACTTAATTTTAAAATGAGCTGCAAATGGAAAATTGATTTCATTAAGACTCTGATGAAGAAATCCATTGGGACACAGACCAGAGTACACAGGTGTCTCCAAGGACCAAGACTCGAAACCACTGTCCTAGAGAACTGCAGTCTCTCCTGGCTTGCATTCCAGATACGATCTGAGATTTAATTTGAACCAAGTATTTGCTTCATTAAAAAGGAACTTTTTTAAAAGGTCTCTGTTAACTGACCGTTTTAAGTGCTCTTTAAAATCTATAGGACTGTGGCTGGCTGGTGTTCTATAGAATAGACTGAAATAAAATTTGGGAGATAGATTAGAAGTTACGTGAAATTATGTGTATAATCTGATAAGGGTTATCCATAGAAATGCTGTTGTCTTAAAATTATCTAACCTGGACAAAATGCTGCCCTGCAGTTTCTGATTCTGATAGAGAAAAGGCTTCCCAACCCTTTTTTGTGTGGACACTGCTGTCGGTGTTGCTGTATGTGGTATGTGCAACATCTTGCTCTCTTCCTCCAGGCGTTTGGATTCAACCCTCTGGAGGATTACTATGTGTCCAAGTCGGCTGTGGTGTTTGGCGGCTTCTACCTTTTCTTCTTCACGGAGAAGGTCTTGAAAATGGTGCTGAAACAGAAGGATGGGGTGAGGATTTCTTGGGTCGGCCACTTCCCTGGTGGATAGCTCTTTTCCTTACTGTCACACTACATTGACAGGCATTCTGTTTCCCCTGAGTGTCTGCAAGCATTTCAATTGGTTAATAAATCATTCAGATTATTTAATTTCTGTCATCATATTTCACTGAGTTGAAAAGGAATTGTTAGACAATAATTTACTTAACATTGAAGCACAGCTCCAAGTGTCTGATGTTGGCCTAACTACTTTTAGGCATCTTGTTTTAACACAAAAGCAATGTTTAAACAAAACCAAAGCCTTAAAATTGAGTTTATGGGTCTTTAATGATCCCATGTCACTGTTCCTAGGAGTGGTGGTGTTAACGCCGGTGTTCTGCATAAGTTCCATTCCCAGCTTGAACATTTGCCCTGACCTAAGGTTGCTCCTTCCATTCAATTTGTGAAGTAGTTTCTTATTTCTACGAGATATCTTGTGTGTGTTTGTGAGACTGCTGGTGCAGAATGGCTGCTGTGCATCAGCCAGTTGGAAGGTGCATGACGTGTTTCCCTTCTATGCAAAGTCCTTTGGGTTCCTCTGGTATGATGGTATGAGTGCTATATAAATGCAAGAACTTCTTAGAATGCATTCTACATTCCATTGATCTCAGACTGTTACCTCTTATGAACAGTTAATAAGGGGGGGTGGTGGCTCATTGTCGATACTGATTTCCTGTCCAAACTCCACAATGCACAAGATCACCTTTTGTTTGATGCTCTTCAGTTACTTTCATTAGTATCCATCCATCCATAACTAAAAAACTGTTACACTACTGATTTACAGTACAGCAGAGTTTGAGGTGTTAAATAATTCTCTAACCAAGCAAGCTAAGAACATAATTTAAAAAAAAATGCAAACTGCTTTTGACAGTTTCTTAATCACATCCTTGAAGTAAGGGTTTGTATCACCTTTTGCACATTTTACATCTTAGGGATAATTCAGACTGTTTTTTCTAGTTCATCGGGATGCAGGAGAATCAGTTATGGAGTTCACGTCATTGAATGACAGTTGTGATATGAGCCCATGTGTTAATCTGCAAAGCAAATTGCCCTGGGGAACTTTGTTGAGCTGTTCTGTTACAAGATTTTTAGGTGAGGTGGGATTGGGTTATTGACTTGTAGCTTCATTCGGACCCCACGTGAGCTTGGAACATCTGCCTGCTTCTGTCCTGTGCAGAGAGGCCACGGCCACAGCCACTATCCCTCCGAGTGCTACGCCTCCAAGTCGGACATTGAGGATGGAGTGACGGAGAAGCTGCAGAACGGAGAAGCGGCGCCCACTCACCCAGGAGCTGACAGAGACCATCAGAACCTCGGCGACCAGGAGAAGGTCCTGACCACGGCCCTCTCAGTGCAGGTGTGTGTGCAGGCAGGGGAGATGTGCAAATGAATGGGAAAGCTGAGGGTGTCTTAGGAATCCATTGCTAATCTTCTGATTTCATATTCTTACACTCAACCCCTAAAAGCAGGTTTCAGGATCCTCAGTGTCTTCAAACTAGACGTGCTCTTGCTTATTTGTTTGAACTCTTAATCGGATTAAAGAGTAATAATAGAGAACAGTCATTTTTTTAATGATTGCTTAATTAGAATTTTGGTTTTAGAAATAACTTGAAATCTTCTGTTTCAAAACCAGAAAGCCATAAAAAAGGCAATAATCTGGAATATTACTAGTTCAGTTAAGAAGTTGTAGCACTAGATAGGAGCCCAGTAGATGCTGTAGACTAAAGGATAGGAAATGGGAATCCCTGGGAACTTCTGTCTGATGGTCGATTGCAATGCATCTTGACACATGGAAATGTTAGAAATCGTGGAGCTGCATTTGGGTGTAGCAGGGAACTCAAAGTGTACGAATGGTCTGTCTCAACACCGTGTACCCTTAAACGGTAAAAGAGGGAGGTAGGGGCTTCTGTATGGCTCAACTAGTAATGGTTTCCACTCTTTTAGACACCTATTCAGTCTCGGATGTCTCATTTTGGGGCGGCGCAGTAGTGCAGTAGGGTGTATTGGTGCCTCACAGTGCTGGAGTTCTGGGTTTAGTTCTGGTCCTGAAGCGCTATCTGTATTCTCCGTGTCTGCGTGGGATTTCACTGGGTGCTCTGGTTTCCACAAACAGTCCAAACACATACAGCACTGTTAGATTAACTGGCTTCAGGGAAATTTGGCCCTGATGCGAGATGTGTGTCTGTGTGTTTGCCTCGTGAGCGACTGGTGTACCTTCCAGGGACTTGGGCCCGTTGCTTGCTGGGATAGGCTCAGCTCCCCCTCGACTTTGTATTGGGTAAAGTAGAAAGAAAGTGGATGGATGTCTCAGCTGGTGCATTGCAGCATCCTCTTGATGCCGATGCTCTAGTTAGCCACAGTGAAGCACTGCTCCAATTCTGTGTCTGAAGCTGTAGACTGTGCATGCTGTTCACGCTGGAGATCTGTAATGTAGAAATGGAAGCTGACTTGGTTTGTGGTGTCTGTTCTGAAGCAAACATTGTCCTAATCTTTCCTGTAATTGAATAAACTAGCTCTTATCATATTGACACAGGAAACGCAGAGCGCGCAGGGGGCCTGCTACTGGCTGAAGGGAACCCGATACTCCGACATCGGCACTCTGGCCTGGATGATAACTCTGAGTGACGGCCTGCACAATTTCATCGACGGCCTGGCCATCGGCGCTTCCTTCACGGTGTCCGTCTTCCAGGGCATCAGCACCTCCGTGGCGATCCTGTGTGAAGAGTTCCCACACGAGCTCGGTAAGGCTGGTGGCACTAGCAACCCACAGCAGCCGGCGAGAACTGTACTTTTCATCTCGGCAAGGGTCTGAAGACAGATGGCATTCCAGGCCGGAAGATCCCAAATACTGTACAGTATATGTAAGCTTAAGATCAGAGTAGTTTGATTATTAAATTCTAATTTGCTGCTCGGAATGCCACGAATCATGATGAACATTTCTTAAATGTGTGTAAAACATCAATGAACATCATAGTAAACCTTGGATTTTTTACATTTTTGCATCTGTATTTTTAAACTTGGAAAATTAACCATGACTCAGATATTCAATTAAAAACTTGTATCTTGCTTTAGCTATTGTTATGTAAATACTTTTTCTAATCAGGTTCAGAATTTTGTTGTATAGAGATAAACAAAATGACATCTATGGCCTTTTATAAACTAGATTTAAATGCCTTATTAGATAAGTAAATACTATGAAGCTTCTCTGCCTGACTTTTAGATCTGTACCCCCCTCTACTGTTGAGAATTGATAATGACAACTCCTTGTTAGTACTGTAATATCACAGATGGCCTCATGACTATCAAAGTTTGCTCTACTTCACTTTTTACCATTGCAATATTTCTGCTTATTTTCTTTTCCGGTTTGGAACAAATGCATAGTAAATGAATCTGAGAGTTTGCCTGTGTTTTTAGTGAACTAGGCCCATAAAGCTCATGAAATTGTTGCCATCATTAGCATTCATATTCCTTGCCAGCATTTATGAGTGCATTTGGTTAGCCATATCATTTTTTAAAGCCTTGCCAACTTTTCAAACAGCAGAAGCTTCTGTTTGGCAGAAAGATGCAGACAATTGAAAAGACAGGGATGATTTGACATGCCAAAGACTTTTGAAGGATGGTTATTTGTATGCCTGAGTACTCTTCAAGAGATGGGTTTCAAGATAGGCCTGTGTTGCTGTAAAAATATAGACCGACAATCTTCCTTTCTTCCCTATCTCCTGCACATAGGTGACTTTGTGATTCTGCTCAACGCAGGGATGAGCATCCAACAAGCACTCTTCTTTAACTTCATCTCTGCCTGCTGCTGTTACCTGGGTATGGGCTTTGGGATTCTGGCTGGCAGTCACTTCTCTGCCAACTGGATCTTTGCCCTAGCAGGTGGCATGTTCCTGTACATTGCCCTGGCAGACATGGTGAGTGGAAGACGGGCAACATCAATCTCTGTCGCTCTCTCAGTGGGTCTCTCCACCTTGATCATTCATTGTAGACACAGCAATATCTATACCCAGTCCACATCTTCTCGTGTTTTTGAGTTAACAAATGTAAGCGGAATTAGGACACTGTCGCAATATTTTACAAAGGTTCTCAGATTGTGCCATTTCATTTGGTACTTTATTTTTCCTTTGGAAAAACTCCACAAATGCTGTCCATTATTAGAAAGAAGCTGCCAAGGTTAAAAGAGTTATACAATCTAATCAGAAAATAATTTGAAATATTTTGTAATTTTGCACTTGTTACCATTCTGAGGATTTACAGATATTTTGGGGGAAAAATATTATAGCAAGAGGGCATTATCTGTGAACTATTGGAATGGATTCAACACAGGACAGTTCTGCATGTTTGTGAACAATAGAAAGCATCTTTTCTATTTAGCAATTTAGAAATTTTCATAGAAAATAATTGATTTTCAGCATTTGAGACATAAATATTTGCCTCCAGCATATGGAAGAGGATAGGAGTAACCTAAATTTGAAAATTGAGGTAAAATGCTGTGTTCCCACAAAAGCCGTGCATACACGGTTTCAGCTGAACAAGACTCCTCTGCGTTTCAGACTGCGATGTTGAGATAGCCCCCTGTGTCTTTTCTTTCTGTGCGCTGCAGTTAGTGGCCGCAGGCAAAGATCTGTAATCCAACACTCTTGTTTGCCTCTCCCTCTGTCTCTCTGCCCAGTTCCCAGAGATGAATGAAGTCAGTAAAGAGGAGGAGGGTGGAGATGGGAGCTCGCTGGTGACCTTCGCTATCCAGAATGCTGGACTGCTGACGGGCTTCACCATCATGCTGCTGCTCACCATGTATTCGGGGCAGATCCAGCTGGGATAGGCCCAACCTCGGCCTCTCTGTTTCTGGGACACTCCACACAGCTGGCTCCTCTGCTGTACCCCAGTCCTCGAGGCCTTTTCCTCCTTCAGGAGGTCTTCGCTCTTCATTATTCCTTCAACATTACAACAGACTCCTCTAGGAGGATTGGATTTGTTTCTGTCGCTGTAAAGCATTCCTCCTACTGTAGTTGTGACGAACGAGGACAGAGCTACTGGGTGTGGCTGTCATCAAGTTCGGTTCGTGAGCCTCAAGGAGGACTAACCCAGGATACAGCCGATTTATTAAATTAATTATCCAATTTATTATTTTTTAGTTAGTGTTTTGTAGAATTTGAGGTTGTGTAACCAAAACTATTGCTCCATTTCCACAATCAAGATCTTGAACTGCATTTGAAACTCTACAGCTCCCACAGCACGCTTTGTGCACGCTGTTTGTTGTTCCATGTGTGCGGTCTGACAGTGCGGGATGTCAGCTAGGCCTCAGGATAGGCAGGGCTGCACAGGCTGCTGTAGTCTTCCAGTCTGAAGGCTCAGCCCTGTGCTCTTCTAGGCTCTTGTCTTAGAAATATGAAGCCTATATAAGTTCATTCCATACCAAAAATAAACCAGAATAATAAAAAAGATGACTGCAGTTCTTTTAAAAGTAAGAAAGTAGACTTGGAGATAAATGGAAAAACTTGAACAAACAAATACAGTTATTGCTTGTTTACCAGGATAAATAAGCTAAGAGAGACCGTTATGGTGGGATCAGAATAGCCTGACAGGAACAAATAAAAACAATATCTCCAAGACTGCAGACCAAATATGGGCTGTTCTGTCATTTATTTTAGAGCAGCATTGTTTAGAAGCTCTTAGCCATCCAAATGCTTATCTGTCTTAGAAACTTGTGGCTTGTGATAATTAGTCTCTGCTCATTTTCGTCTCCTCGGCCAACTGTAATTGTGGCCCCTAAAGCACACTGACTGCTTGTTCCAAGTGAATTGTAGTCCTGTTTTGAAGCTGCATCAGTTCTTATTATTATCTGATACACTGAGACCAACTATTAGACCATTTAAGAAGTTTTAAAAATATACAGCCTAGAGAAAAACAGTTAAACTACTCAAATCTTTTAAAGGGATAAAAGATAAATAAGCTTCTTTGTAATTTTGGTATGTCCTTTTCCACAAATGGGAAACATGATAGATTTAGATTATCATGTGAAAGTTCAGGGCAGGCTTTCTTTTCCTCTTTTAGTTCTGTGAAAAAGACCAATGGCATTGTCCAGTCAGGAACTGCACTTTTTGTTTCAATCAAGTAGGTATACAAACATATTTTAACTCTGTGGGAAATCGCTTTCTCCGGAACTGTGATGAAGGCTGGGTTGTTTTAAGCGGTACCATCCTCAAACTGCTTCTAGCATCACGTTACTGGGTAAACATGCTGGGGTGATTTGAATTTTGGCTTTTATTTGCCTTAAGCCAAAGTTAACTCTGATCCACCACCAAGTAGGTTTTATTTTCAAGGTTGTCTTTAAACCAACAATTTCTAAACAAGTCTAACTTTTAGGCATGTAAATGTGTGCTTAACTGAGATATTAAATGTACAGGTGCAATCAGCGAGTAGAAAATGGCTTTTTTGTGAGATCATCTGATTAACTGAACAAAATGATTTATTTTGTCTTTAGAAACTGTGGGTTTAAGGGCTGACCACAGACCATAGATCATAGGACGTCTGTCACCAAAACAGATGGCTCAGAGTTGACTGGTGAGATATCTGCTCTTGGCAACTACCCCAATCGAGTATTTGGAGTCCAGAGTCAAAGATACTGTCTGAAATAATACGAGTTGCTGCTGCTAACCCAGCAGCATAACTTTGATTGCATTACCCAAGTTGGTGGACCACAACTATCATAATGACTTGTGGCATATACGTAGAATGTATTGCAAATGAGCGCAGCCCAGCCTTTTTTACCTGTTTTATTTGGTTGTGTTAAAATGATGGATGGAGTCAACTACTCAACTGTTATCAAATGGAGGATATTTTTTAATAGATTTTATATTATGGTGTGTATTAGTAATCAGTGTTGAAGAAAAAAATAAATATAAAATAAGACATTTTAGGTAAAATGAGCAAATATATAATGAAAATATGCAAGTTTGGTGGTCACGAAAGCCCTTATATTTTGATGCTCTAATTTGCTCAGATGTTTTTTCAGGATGGAAAGAACGAATAAATAGGTTGCACAATGTAAGTCCCGTCATGGGAAATTTTTATATTTGACAGCAATGCTGTCATCGTTCTCTGCATATTTACTTCATCAGGGTAACTTTATTCATTGATGTCTGAAATAAACTAGTCTGCTTCTTTTTATGATTAGTATTTTGGTTGTTGGGTGCTAGTTACTTTCCAAAAGCTGGGTCACTGTAGTTCAAAAATGATCTTTGTATTGAAACTTGAATACTAATTGTTATTGGTATAATGGAGAAGCCTTGTACAGCTTGTGCTCAAAGGGTGGTTTTATTGTTGTTTCATCAGAAATATCGATATTCTTTTTGAGTTCTCATGAGAAAAAAATCAAATTGCTTTCCACCAGTCTTTCATTACTAATGCTGGGCAGTGGTGAAAAACTTGGTGTGTTGGTGTCTTACCCATTGTAAGGCAGACAAGATGCCATTAGAAGGTTTGGGGATGCTTATGAACATTTTTGGGCCATTTTGAGTTTCCCTTTCACCTTTTTTTTTCTGGGTCAGTAGGCCGGGAACATTCCAGAAACATAATTCAATACGAGCCGTGCATTTGGTATGTGCTGTCATCCTCCATGTAGTTCGGTGTGTCTTTGGGTAGCATCATTTTGTGCACAGACTGAAATGAAATCTCAATAACTTGTGCAATAAAAGAATTTCACGTTAACAAGCCGGGTGCAGTAAATGAATTGCTGAATTAACAGTTGCAGTTTGCTTTTCCTAACCCTCTTTCTACTAACTCAGATTCAGTAATGAGAGGATTTATGATACTCTTGGACGAGTAAACGGGTCCCTTTTCATTGGTCAGCTTTTTCAGACCTGTTCAGGAAGGGAGGGCTCACTGTCCTGTAAATGAAGATTTGAAACACCGTGTATTGTGAAGATTTTAATATTTAAATATGGAGACCTTTCCAATCCTTTTTGACTAACTTGGGACTCGGCAGCATTAGATGAGGACAAAAACAGCTCTGTAGGTCCTTCGCTTCCTCTGTAACTAAAGACATGTAAGCTGGTGATTTAGATCAATTAAGTGAGTGTGATTCAGTGAGGTCATCGAAAGCTTGGCTAGGGTAAAAAGACCCTATGTGTTTCCTAGACCACACGGGAGTATCACTGCTGTTTCACCTGCATTCTGTCAGAAAAAGATGTCTGCCACGCTTCAGCACTTTTCCTCAAAAACGTATCTGTTATGAGAATTTTTTTAGGAAGGAAATATGATATGTTATCCAAAACATTGTGCTTGGTCTATGTAGTTCTATGTAGTTCAAGTAGGTAGCTGTGTCAGCATGCGTAGGCTGCAAAGGAATAGTTCATGTTTATTCCATGATGAAAAGAGAAGAAAGGAAACACGCAACGTTACAGCAAAATATTGCAAGATCTTTAGAAAATATTACTTCAAAAAATGATGTTCCTAAACTGACCACAAGAGGGTGGTAATCTGAAAAAAAGGAGAGCAGTTTAAATGCACAGGTTGAAAAGTGTTATTATCTTGAACCAGAGCCAAATGCTGACTGATTTAACTGATTTTACTTTTGCTTGTTTCCTTGGCTCACATTTTGATAAGGGGCAACATTATGATGGGATTACAGAAACTGCCAGTAAAACTTTCTTCTGGTAGTCTGGTTCTTGGGTGTTAGGTGTGGGAGACCTTGTAATATAGAGCAGCCGTATCCCTGTTGATCATCACAATGGCGTGAAGTGTGATTAAGAAATTGAAAATGTGCAACAATGTCATCTATCCATTGGTGTTATTTGTTGCCTTTCTATGTTTACATGCAATATAATTTACTTTTATTTATCCAACCACTGTGACATAAAGTACAGATAAAAATTCACAACTTACTGGTTTTACTTTAGGTTCTTCAACCCACTTACTGTAGGTAACAGTTTACCGAAGTATTACCCCTTACTATTGTTTACTGTTGTTGCTATATTAAACTGTTTTTTACTAAACCTTCTTGTGTACCTGCTGAGACAGTACTTTATTATGCTATAATTTGTACTGTAGCTGTTACAAATAAACCTGCAGATATAGGAGCATTTAGTCAAGTTTTCTTGTATTATTCATTACCATTATTATTTAAGAAAAAATAGGAATCTGTTTCAATTACTTGGACTACAGTATCCTAACAGTTTTGTGGAATTTGCTCTTTTTGCATACATGGTGCTGGAGAGTAGTGGTTTACTCCAAAGCAGAGATCTATCTCCTGTACTTGAGTATCTATGTCTCGTTGTGTAAGACGTGTGTTATGTATTGCAGTGTGGACTATAAACAATGTGACTGGAAAAAAGTTGAAATGCAAACCAGGATTGTTCATTATTTTCAAGACAGGGGTGGAAAATGCTGCTTTAGGTGGCTTATCTGCTTTGACAAGGTTTTTGCTCTAACATTTGGATTATCTAAAATGAGCATCTTTTGTTTTTCTTCATCTCTGGGTTTTTAAATGTCTTGGAATCTGGATATCGATGGCATGGTGATGTGACAAAGTGTTGCTGCCTCACAGCTCTATTGTCCTGAGTATGACTGGGCTCAGAGGTGCCTTCTGTGTGGAGACTGCATATTCTCCTGTGGCCATGTGGGCTTTTGCTGAAAATAGCTCTAAAAGCCTGACTATGACCCTTTATAAGAGGTTAATGAAAATTAATGAATGGATGGTATCTGCATATAGAAAACTGTTTTTATTCAGTTTTTAGTGATCTCTTGTTCTGCTTGAAACTGTTATAGACTTCAGATGTTGATGATAGTCTGACAATCTAGTTTGGCATTCCAGTGATAAAAAAAACATATCATTGATTTTCTATCCAGAGTTGGTTCTATAGCAATAGACTGCTGGGTTTCTGATTTCAAGGCTAAGCACGGCTGTACCTGGTCCATGCTGATATAGGAGATCATCGAATAAAGCCAAAACCATTTACTGTTGGACCAGTAGTAGCGCTCTTCCCTTTAGACCAGAATTTCATACCCAGTGGCACAGAAGATGATTGGTGGGCACTGTGCTGTATGAAATGCACAGCTTTCAGATAAAATGTTAAGTGTCCTGGCTGCGTGGTCATTTAACTGCAGTCCCAGTTTCTCAGACCGGTTATTAAATCTCGGTAACAAAATGCCTTCGCTGACGGTATCACATTTTTTCACCAAATTTCGTATTAATCAAAAAATGGCAAACTAAGTGAACATACTGTAAGTCGCCATGTTATCACAAACCCCTGGTCTCACCACGGGACAGAGGGAGAGTTCCCATGAATTGTGATGTGAAGCAGCCCTTCCTGCTCACTAGTCACTGTTGATGACTCAATTGTTGTGCGAGTGAATAAGTACAGGTTGTGCAGCAGACATTTCACTGCAGAAATGTCCCGATGTGATCTGCAGGCAGAGTTAACAAGTAAGACAAGTCAAAAGTATCAGCAAAACAGTCACAAAATCTAGAGCAATATTTCTATTGGATTAAAAGAGATGTATTCACAAGCCCGCTTCTCTACTGTATAATAGGTTCGACGTCACTGGATGTTTTGTTGCCACGTTCTGAATTGCTCAACATGGCAAAGCGCATACTGGGAATTTAGTCTATTTTGTGATGTAAATGAGAGTTTTTTCAAGTTACCGTGTACATTTTAGGTTTATTGTGTAAAATTGTATTTTAATTGTTGAAATGCACACATCAATGCTGATTCTTTCTAACTCTTACACTGAAATTTGAAAATTAAAAGATCCCATGACACTCGTAAGGGTAAGTGTGTAAACCCTTGTGTTCCAGCTTGCAGGAACTGGCATAACTTGACCACCTGAGTTGAACAGATTCTTGCTGCTGTGCCTGATCTGCTGTTTACTGGGGTTGCTGGCACACAATGACTGCCACCCAAGTGGTGGATGAAGCCGATCCCTTCTGTATGCACAGCTCTTTGATATCTTTAAGAATGAAAAGTGCTTTTATATATGCAAGGTGTTATTTATTAATTAAATAGTAAAAGATGTATAATAATCTCCCTAGAGATTCCCCATAGGGCTAATTCACTCTACATAGTGATTCCCAGGGTTTTTTTTTTCCCCATAAAGGGCTATGATTCAGTTTTTATTCAAGGAAAGGAAAAATGAATGCTTTGAGGCAGAAAAGGATTTTGTGCACTTATACTGAAATTGATAGCTTTTCAGTAGTTTTATCAAACTTAGTAGTTTGAAACTACTTTCTAAAGTTCTAAACTACTAAGTTTTAAACTTTAAAAAAGTAGTTTCACAGAACTTGACAGTTTTATAAGACATGTGAAACTCCCTATTTATCACTTAATTAAATCGAAGACTTAAACAGCTGAACCTAGAACGGCACCAGATTTGTCATTTGCTCAAATCCCCCTGGATTGGACGCTTGGATGCTTGGATGAGTGTTGGCTGATGGACGGTTTGGTTGTTTGCCGCGCTTGGCTGTCAACAGCAGAGTCTGTGTACTGTAAATGTATCTAGCAGTGCTTATCAGAAGTACCTTTTGGTATGGGTGGGGCATTTGGTCACTTGCTGTTTTTTGAGGCACTTGTTGGATGGATGAACAGATGCTACCCAGTGTCTTCTTTCGTCTCTGTAAAGTTCAAAATGAACAGCATGCATGAGAATTTTGCAGTCCAGCCTCCAGACCGAGTTTTAAATGTGATCAAATATGCTTCCACCAACCTGTCAAACTGAAGATAACTGAAATGCGGTAAAAGGCTAGTTGATCTCCCAAAGAGCCCCATTCTTCTCACTTTTTTTTTTTACTTTACAAGAATATCTTGTAAAGAAGTCAAATATAAAACTCATTACATAGATTACACTGTACAAGTTTTGTCATGTACAAAATGCTGTAGGATAGAGCCTGTTTTCTGTTTTGAATTAGCTGTGTCAAACTGTTTTTAAAGTTTCTATAGACCAACGATGTTCGCTAATCATTTGGCAGCTCTTGAGTACTTTCCCTCATGACTGTAGGAAGTTCAGTTTAGTTTTGATTTACAATGTTGCTTACCAAATTGTTAACCTGATGAAATTCAAGGTGCTGCATGTCATGTTTTAGTAGAATAAGCTAAAATTAAGAGGTTTTACATTACAGTTTCTGCTCATTAGAGGCATTGTGATTAGTTTAGCACCCTTACCTTATTAGAACACTTAGAAGAGTTTGTAATCTCTTCTGTAGCCTGTTAGAATGTGTATTCTTATCAATATTCTTAGATGATGGAGCTTTCAAATTTTGACAATTGTTTGTAGCAGAAAAACCTTTAGCTCTCATCTAAATGGAGTCACATCAACTGAATGAGCAACTTGTAGGTGTTGAATTATTTTTGGGAGTGGGCTTCAATGCCATTGGAGACTTTATGATGCACAATCATTGAAAATGTAAATGGAGAAACCAAAATGTGAGTTCTTGAAAAAGGAGAGAATGGGAGTCACAATGTTACTTGCCTGTTGATTTATTTAGTCTTCAGCAGGCTTTGGTTTCACATTCAAAATTCTTTTTTTTTTTTAGATACCCAATCTCCAGTTTCAAATGTTCAGTTGTGAGAAAAAGTTTGTGAAATGATCTGGATTTCTGCATGAATGGCTCCTAAAATGTGATCTGATCTTCATTTAAGTCTTAATAATAACTAAAGACAGTCTTATTGAACAAACAACACACACAACATTTTACATTGTCGTATCTTTATTGAACAAATGTCAAGGTCATTGATGGGAAAAGTAGGTGAACCTCTAGGATAATGACATCTTGAAAAGAGGGTAATTGGAGTCAGGTGTTCTAATCAATTCAGGTGTGGGTTTGACCTGCCCTGCCATATTAAAAAAATCTCAACTTTGGTTACCTGCTCTTCACAACAGAATTCTGTTGAACTGCAATATGGCCTCATCGAAAGAGATTTCAAAAGACTTCAGAAGAAGAGTTGTTGAAGCTCATAAGACTGGATTTCTGAAGACCTGGACCTCTGTCTGTCCACAGTCAGGCAGATTGTTTACAAATGGAAGAAATTCAGCACTGTTGCTACTCTCCCTAGGAGTGGGCATCCTACAAAGACTGGTAGCAAGGGCACATCATAAAATCCTCAAACAGGGGACAAAGAACCCTAGGGTGTCAGCTAAGGATCTGCAGGTATCTCTTGCACTTGATAATGTCTGTGTTCATGAGTCTACCATAAGAAACACTTAACAAGAGTGGTGTTCATGAGAGGTGACCATGAAGGAAACAACTGCTCTCCAAGAAAAACATTGCTGCCCGTCTCAACTTTGCTAAAGTCCACCTGGATGGTCCACATCACTACTGGAACAATGTTCTGTGGGCAGATGAGACAATAAGTGAGCCTTTTGGTAAATATACTGTACATAGCGTTTTCTTTGGAGAAAACAAAACACCATATACCAATACCAAAACATCATCCCAGCTGTGAAGCATGGGAGTGGGAGTATAATGGTGTGGGGCTGCTTTGCTGGACAGCTTGCAATCATTGAGGGACTAATATATTCCAAGTTGTATCAGGATATTCTACAGCAGAAGGTCAGGGAATCTGTGATCTAAAACTCAAAAGAAGTTGGGTCATGCAACATGACAATGATCCAAAACACAGGAGTAAATCCACAACAGAGTGGCTCAAACAGAAGAAATTCCGTATTCTTCTGTATGAGAGTCCTGACCTCAATCCCATTGAAATGCTGTGGTGTGATCTGAAACAGGCTGTTCAAGCAAGACATCCCAAAATTATACATGAAATGAAACCGTTTAGTATAGAGGAATGGGCCTAAATACCACCTAACCGAAGCATTTGGTTGAGATTATTGCCAATAAAGGGGGTTTCATTACTTACTAAATATAAGGGTTCACATACTTTTTCTATCAATGACCTTGATTGTTAAAACCATTTGTTCAATAACAATATGGCTATGTAAAATGTTGTGTGTGTTGTTTGTTAAATAATACTATATTTATTATTATGACTTAGATGAAGATCACATTTTAGGAGCCATTCATGCAGAAATCCATATAATTCCTAAGGGTCCACAAACTTTTTCTTACAACTGTATATATTATCTCTACAAAGATCAAGGTATAACATACCTGGTATTCAACTGGAAGAATACTGGAATACTGACAGTAATCCAAGAGTCCTGTATTGCCCTTATTATGAATGACATCTTAAACCGTTATCCTCCAGAGAGCACAATTTATGTGTAACTCCTCAACTTTCTTTTAGGTTGTTCTTGTCAAGAGCTTCAATGTGTTTTTTGAGGATTTGGTGCTCAAACTGAAAATAAGCAAATGTGTTATTACATGTACGCGTCCTACATACTTACTACCTCTCCCATTAAGATGACTGGAGGGGGTGGGAGAGGATCTGTGCCGAACAAAAAGGGATAGGAAACAGCCTGCAGTTTAAGCATCTTAAAATGTATTTAAATATTTATTTAATACTGCTGAGCAAAGCTAAATTGACATACAAGTGTTTAGGAGAAAGTAAAAAAAAATGTTGTGTATGTCTCTTCTTTAGTGCATTTGTAGAAACCTGGTTAGCTTTTCTATTGTATATTTCCCCTAGTAAAGGCCTTTTTTTATTCAATTTAAATCTGTTGCTTTTTTTGTTTCTTAAGCCCCATGTCTGGAAATTGTTAGACAATGGCAAAACATTAAACCTCAGTGGTGTGTTCCATCTTTTGATTTTGTACTGTCCTTTGAGACTATAAATATTGCTGAACCTTTTCTTGTACGATCCAGATACCATGAAGAAGCCGTGTTCCTTCTTAGTCTAAATTCATTAAAACATCAATGTATAAAGATTTGGAAGTTTTATTATTCATTGAGTAGGTACTTTGTTATTTAAAGATTGCTTGAAACAGAAAAAAACCTAAATAATATTTAGCCCTTAAAGACCAGACTTCCTTTAAGATGACTAACTACTTGCTCAGGAGATCATTAGCCTAACAAGAGCTTCTGATCCCTAGAAATAGTTATTATACCATCATCTTTAAGACTTACTGGTTTGAGCTATGTTCTAATGGATATCCTCTAGCTTACCCAAGATGGATTCCTTTGCAGTTTCTGGTGTCTGAATGTCACCTACTACATTACATTATGTCAATCTTCAGGAACAAATACTGTCACTGGTGACGATAAATATCCAACCACCCCATATGCTGCTTCTTTAGACCTCAGTTTATAGTGATTGTTACAGTATACTATGCTCTACCATCATGAAATGAGACATAGAATGCCACCCTTGCTATTTTTTTTCTGTTGAGCACACACACACACAAAACCAAATGACATTGCTTCATTCTTACCATATTGTCGGGTGCCTGAAGAAATAGTTGAGTTAACCATCACTGTTACTGTGCAGACGTGATGCATTGTGTTGTCCATCTTGATAGTCCTATGAGTGGTTGAGTAGATCTTGCTGGATCTTGAGTGGTATTGGCACTTGGCAGCATCAGTAGAGGAGTGGCCTTTCAACGACTTGGTCATTTCACCTCGCAACATCCATGACATCATTATTCCAAGAATGCATTACAACCATTGAGTTTCTGCTTCATTTGAAAAGTGCTTAAAAATGAACTTCAGCATTCTCACTGCACTTATCACCATTGTATGTGTAAATTCACAATTCCACATTTCTAAATTTCTGTCAGTAAATGTTGCAAATCATATTTGTGGGTCTGAACAGATGCAACTTTTCTGAAGTGTAGGAATATAATTTACAGTGTATGGATATTACAGAATGATTTATAATGGTTTTGCAATTTGTAAATCTGATATCGAAATCTGAAATTTAAGCACCATCTCTAGTGCTAGACAATGAATACTGTTCAGGAACATAAAAGTCGATTCAAGCTGCAGAACACACATCATTGTCATTTTAGTCAAAAGACCGCCAACGTTAAATAAAACACAACTTCCCGAAGGCCTTCATACTGTTTGTGTCTAAAGCAGCGCTTTCTGGAATATGTAGTTCAAAACGTGAACTGTCATTTAAAACAGTACTGAAGTCCTAAACTGCATTTCCCAGAAATCCACGGTGGCACCCTTTTAATCAAATACGATAATGCAGGTCCTTTTTGGGAAATGTAGTATTTTCTGTGACTCGAGCACGGTACTAGTTCTCCTCCCCTGCGGTATCAAGACTACTTTACCCAAAAGCCATTGCTTTCACGAGTTTCTTGCCGCCATGTTGTAGGAAATCCGCTTGTGGGGGGATTACAGAGTTTAATCCGAGAGAACAGGGACAGAGGCTGGAAGATAGAGCGAAGAGAGAGAGAGAGAAGAAAAAAACCCTAAAGCAGACATAGGCCCGAAAGCAGTGAAATACAGTCAAATAACCCAGCAGCTAAACACCGTGGCATTAAAAGACTTCGACTCGCCAAAATTGGGAGAGTGGATTTGCAAAACCGTTTTTTTTTCCTGGCTACATTTTTTAAGTTAGCTGGTTTGGACTGATTCTGTGACAGAAATTGACAGCAGCTGGATAGCTAACGAAAAAGAAGAGAGGGGAGAGCAAAATTTGTCAGGAAAAAATAATTTCGTCGAGTAAAGTGGGTTTCCCCCCCCTTTCCCCTTTCCCCTCACATTTTTTTTCACCTCCTAACTAACCAAGGAACTCCCATTTTGGGTTGTCCTGGTTTGCTGGATTTGAATTCGAGGGGAAATAAAAAAAAGGACAGAATAAGCGTACGCAGGGGGAAATATTAGAATACAAAATTCCTGAGGTGAGTCGAGGTGAAAGATGTCTGGGAAAGACCAGAATAAGCAATCCACCACCGAGCGGATTATAAAAGGTAAGTGGTCTTCTCTAACACGGAACAGCAACTTTTACTGTTTGTGTTTTCGTTTAGGGCGGGTTTTCTAAATAGCACGGCAATAATTAAGCTATCCAACGTGGACATGCATTCGTGTCACACCAGGATCGGGGTCGGCTAGCTGTAAAAAAATACATTTTTCTCCCCCCAACCAGAGTCGAGTACAGGCTGTAAATCTGCGGTGTGTATCGTCTTGTCCGAAATGCCAAGCTTAGCCATCTACAGTAGCTACGTCGCGTATTTCAACGAACATTTAAACTTTGCTGGTTATGTTTCCCATCGTACGTGTATTTATATCACACGAGGTTTGAAACAGGTTTTTGGTTCCTACCATTCATCGTGCAAACCAGCTGCCGTTTAAGAGCACTCTTAAAACACAGCTGCGGTAGTAAAAGAAACGTATTATTATTTAATTTATCGTTTTATACTACTTTTATTTCTTTCTGGTTTGTCCAATTGTACAAATGACTTGTCCTGCTTTAACGTTTGTACGGAAGAAGTTCTAATCTGCCTTTCAGTTTAGCAGACCTCTGAAAAATCGTATTCATCCCCTAGAACTGCTGTCCGATTGAATTGAAGTTATGATTGCAAACGTGTGTAGTGTAGTCGTGCATTTGAGTGTGTGCTTAAATAGCTTAGGTCATGTAAGACATATTTCCTAAGCTAATTTCTAATAATACATTGCATTTAGCGATCCAGAGCTGTCTTGCTGGAATAACAGCCAGCTGGCTTGGGGTGAACAGTATTGTTTGGCAGTTGAGCTCTGCGCCTTGACCAGCAGTCCTGACGCTAAGAGGTCTTGACGGAATGTGAAGAATTACTGCCCCATCTGGTCTAAGTGTAACAAGGTGAACGGGCTCGGATGAGCCTTGTCTGGGTCAGAACACAACGCAAAACAAAACTACATCAACAAAAATCCAGCTCCGTCAGGTTGCCATCCTGCGACTGGCGCCAAGCTTTTAAAATGCATCATTTCAATAGGCTCAGTATTGCCCGCACCCCCTTCCATTTTGGAAGCTTTTGCATTCTTTTAGAACCTGGAACGAGTGTAAAATGCTGCCTTCTATGGCACATCTCCGAGCAGAGGTCGTAAGGCGATTTGTAATTGGGAAAGGCTATTAGAGGAAATGAGTCCCGTGGGATTTGAATGAATCGCTATTTAAACGTCAGAAGCCCGGCAGTGAGGAGAACAGCCTTCTTCAAGACAGTGGAGTCAAAAGCTGCATGTGAACCTTTTTTTTGCCGTTTTCAGAGGTGATAAATTGGGCAGTTTTTATACTTTACATGTAGGGTACAAGACTTGACTGTAACAAAACATAAAATTGAGTCAAAAAGGTTTTTTTCTTTATGGAGTGGTAACTCATTCACGTCTACTATATGAAAGAGAGAAGACCAGGCAGAGTTGTGGATGGGATAGGGTGTGTTAATTCTCAAGTTTTATGTTGAAGCAAGGATACATGACAGAGCACAAGGGCAACAGAAGATGGAGGAGGGGGAGGTGTTGGTAGAAGTTCTTTAAAGTGCATGCCATGAAAACACACCCTGAAGCGACAGAGGTGGGGATGTTTTCTGTTTTGCTCCAAGAGAGCTAGCTGTTTGCATTCTGACACCACTGTTGGATCAGTGTGGGATTCACGCCTATCCATGCTAATTGATTCAGGGATGTTGCCGTAAAAGATTGTGTGATTAATCACGTTGAAACTAACGAATAAATCGGGCACAGCCAACCTTGGCACTCACATCTCTGTCTGAGGCAAGGCTAATCCTCAGTTATTTTAGTCACTTTCAGTGACAGAATCAGATAAGTTAATAAGAGTTCATTAATAAAACTATTTGGGTTTGCAAAGGAATGAAACGGAGCCTGTGAGTTTGCCCAATCTGTCAGTAAATGCTTCGTTACAGCTTTTAAATACAACATTAATATAGACTTTAGTGTTGGGAAGTTCATGTGTTCAGCAAGGGAAACACTTTAGTGATATTAATGATTCTTGTTTCATTAGAACAATCTATAGAAAGATGCAAATATCACGGAATTCACTGAACTGATATTTCCCATCCTCTTAGGGGGATAAATCTTTGTATTTTTTACCTTTTTGGTAATTTAGATATAGAGGTTGTTTTGTAATTTCATGTGCTGAAGAAGGAAGTAGAGTGTCTACCAGTTTTGCTTAGATTACATTTGCTTCAGGATTTCTAAAATATTTTCATGTCCATGAATTAAAAATTAGTTTAAATTAATTTAATATTAATAGTTAAGAATGAGGAAAGTACTGTTTCATTGCTTATGTACAGAGTTAGTAATCAATGTAGTTGGTTATTGATTTTATTTTACATAAAATATTAAGCATGGGGTGCAAAGATCTGTCATTAAGGGCTATATTAATGGAAGTTTTGTTTTGTGGGTATCTGCTTCATTTCAGTGGCTGCATATTGAATTTTTTATGTACAAGCTATGGAGAACAAAGCAAAGCAGTGTAAAATCTGAAAGGACTGCGATAGTCTGGAAAGACTGTGATATGAGACTACTTGAGCACGACTCCCACTGGCTAAAGAAATAAAGCAGTGCTTTATGAAACAAACGTGTTTTAACTCTGATTCTAATCATATCTTATTATAAAAAAATGCCAAAGAGATGAAACAATGTTCAGAGAATGAACATCTGATATAGTGTGCCATGGCTTCCCTTATAATAAGTGCCCTCCTCCGAGAGATTTTGGAGATCTTTCCAGCCTTTGTGTTCTCCTTCTGGCTCGGATTTAGAGTTGGGGAGCTGATCTTGATTCCTTGTATCTAATGGTGACCCTTTCCTCTCTCCATGTCTTGTCTGTGGATCGGGAAACTCCAGGTGAGGGCTAAGCTCTTGAAGCCTGTGACAATACAAACCTCAGCTTAGCACCGGCAGATGAGGAGAGCTGCCGTGGGTTTTGAAGCAAGTGATTCCTTGCACTGCACTGCACAAGAGAGAAAGTATTGCGTTTGACTGAGAAGACAGGGTGTACCCTAGGTCTGAAAAGGAGGATTTAATCAGTTACAGAACCTAGGTTTGTTGAAATACGCTTTGTAATACCATTCATATTAAAATGAAAAGCTTAAACTTGGAGGAAAAGTTAACCTTCAAAAAGCTAAGAAGAAACAGGATCAGCATGAGCTTATGAAAAACACGGCCTCATGCTGATGGTCTTGTAGAAGGCAGAAATTTATACTGTGGGCAGGTTGGGTTGAGAAGAGCGAGCTCCCAGTTTTACATTGGCTGAGCATGGTGTTTTAAAGGGTGATTTTTGTATTTGACTCCTGATTTTTTTTGTAAACAATTGCAGACGTTTACTGGTGCATAATCTTACATGAACAATGTAATGCTTATAATTTTGGCTTCCATTTGTAAATGGAAAACAGTGCGGGAGTTCACACTTGAGCAAATAGCTCTGAAAGATAGCCTTTTCAAGTTAGAAAGATTAGCATTTAGGTAGGTCTACAAATAAGTGGTAAAAAAGGGTAATGATTTTTTCATAATGTAGGCCATGTATTCGAGTGCTGCAAGGAAATTAAAGAGAAAGTACAGTTCTTAACCAGCAGTAGAAAGAACTTAGCAGTGTTCCACAAAGATCCCTTGCAGTATTCTATAACTTCAGGTCAAATTCTAATTTACAGCAATTGATAGTAAAACTTAAAATTAATGCAAATTATATTATTCGCTTTGTAATGATGGTTGGTTTTCTTTATTGATTTGAATTTTAATTGATAGAGTTTTCAGTCATTAACTTTTTTTATTTAAAAAAAACTTTCAGGAAAGGTATTTGATCTTGAAACCCTTTTGTGTAGTCATTTCAGTCTGTTTGCATTGCATTCTGATTCCTCGAAATGTATCCATCAACGCTGAGAGTAAATTGAAATGCTGCCAAAGTTTAACTTGTGCTGTCAGATTCCTCTTGAGTTAAATAATGAAATTCTGAAGTTTCAAACATGCAAATTAGGAGGCATACAACTAAAAGTGAGCTGTCTGTATGATTGATACAAGCTCATCCTCCAGTGGGTGACACATTCCCCACCTCAGCACATGGTATGCTCACCTGCCCTATTAGTCAAGCGTTGGCTGTTATGGTACTACAGTGCAGTACTGGATGTCTTCCCAGGTGAACATCTTTTAACAAGACTTTTGTCTTTCCAGAGGCTCCCCTGGTGTTTGAAATTCACAGACACGCAAATGAATAATTAAATGTGCAAATAAGTAAAGCTGAATAATTAAAAGCAAAATCATTACCCTAGCTCTTCGCTTTGGATTAGTCTCCCATGGCACACTAATTCTGCAAGTGAAATGTTATTCCCTTTATTATCCCTCCTAGATCATTTTCTTTCAGAGCGATATTTTAAGTGCATCTGTGATGAGGCGGCAGAAGGAATCCCACATGGTCTTTGAAACTGGACACGTCAAGGCAAGGACAGTGTGAGCACTGGGGGGCGGGGAGTGACTTTTTAGTGTTTAAACAGAAAGATAAGCTAAGTTTGTGCATGTGGGCTTTCGAATGAGGCAGAAACTTTCAAATACAGCCATCCCATACATGGACATACAGTTTTACCGTTTTCAACTGCACTGACTGGTTTGAGTTCATGTTGAATGTACCATTACTGTTTTTATGCTGAATTAGTAAAACATTATGTCTTGCTGATTAGCTTATAATTTTAGGTGAGGGCAATTGCTTCATCCTATTGGTATGAAACAGATTTGTGGCCAGAAACATAAGCAGGAAAGCAGACACTACAGAGAGGTTATTCTGCAAGCCAAGGTCCTGGCTCCCCACATCCCCACACATGTTGCTTTTCACTCCAGGTGAGCTCACGGTTACAGAATTGAACTCTTGGTTGACCTAATGAAAGGATGAATTTGATCTCTGTTTTCAGTTCCTGGACATGTTGTAGGCTACTTTTTAATTATTAATTTCATAGGCAACGTATGATTAGAAAAAAAAAACCATCACACAAAA